GAGCACATGCTTTTGAGACATGACCATAACTAGTTCCTAACTAAATCTTTAGTACTGTCAGAATAATCAACTGTTTATATCTGAAAAGAAAGACCTTCATAAATATTTGTTCTGGGTGATACTTATACAGTGTTACAACTGTCAAAACTCATCCAACTGAATATTTAAGATTTATGTATTTTATTGCACATGAATTATACCGCAAAAAACACACAGAATAGAACTTCTCTAATTTACTTAAAATTAAGGTGGTAATAGCTTTCAACCACAGCAGGAACTATGGAAGAGCTTAAGAAAAAAGTCACCTCGGGCTGGCTGAGTGGAGCGTTGGTTAAGAGCTGGTTTGGGATGCCAGCTCTGTGCAGCAGGCCCCGGTTCGGATCCCACATGAGGGCCAGTGACACTGCCCTCTACAGTTAAGATGGTGAACAACAGCTCTACCTGGAACTGGGATGCCATGAGTCGCCAGCGACAGTGGGCTGCTGTAAGCTACCGTGTGTGGCCGGCAGCCAGCATGAGTGGCCGGCAGCTAGTGTGAGCTGCCAAGAACTGCCATGAGTGGCCATCCAGAGGGGGGCGACCGATCTGCCTCGCCCGGGAAGAGCACAATGATAATACCAACGTGGGCCAATGAAGCAACATCCTCCACAACTAGACTGAAGAACAAAAGGACAGCAACTTGTCTGTTCCCCTTCCCCAGATTCACCAGCGCTGTTCCCCTCCCCCAACTCTCCAAAAAAAAATCTTAAAAAAGAAAAAAAAGAAAAAAGTCACCTCTTTCCAACACCTGTTGTTACAATATGGTTCCCACAGACTGGTAGAATCAGCAGCATCTGGGAAAATGTTAGAAATTCTAATCCCAAGCCAAATCCCAGAATTTGTATTTTAACAAAGATCTCCAAATGAGTTGTTTGCATATTAAAGTTTGAGAAACTCCAAAAACCTAAGTATGGGAATATTTATGGTAGAAATTCAAGAAGCTCTACTTTTGAAAAGCCCCGCAGATGTACAGCCAAGGTACAGAATCACAGTGTAAGTGTTGTGCCTGGAGAGTGCAGAGATGGAAGGTTCTTCTTTCAAGATGAGCTTGTATAGCAAAATATGCTAATAAACTCCAGCAGCTCACCAACTATCCTTAGTAGTTGTCTCATTAGGTGACTACTTCTCTGCTGCTTGTCATCTTTTTAGGAGGATTTTAGCCACCCTGACACTGGTCACATGATTTGCTGGCAGAACATGCATATGCATATTATATATAGTATACAGAATATATATCCGTCCCAAATCTACTCAGATAATCTGATTCCATCTGAAGTAAGAGGAAGATAGAAAATCTAATCCAGATCTTGCCAGTGGGGAATTACAGAGACTTTTAATATCATTAGATGCCAGGACCCAAAGATAACAGAGGATCTCACTGACAGGCTTTATTAAGCACAATTTTATCACAGTATGAGGGACCTTACAAACCTTAAAAATGATAAAGTTCCACAGAGTTAAAAGTGAATATTGCTTTATCCCCAGAAGGGCAATAGGTGGAAGAGGGGTATGTAATAATGGAGAATTTCAATTTGTGTCGTTCATTCAAAGTAACAATTTGTTAAAAGACCGGTAAGATTCCTTACCGGTAAAATAGTAAGTAGTGGGGTGCACTTTCAAATCAAAGAGTTCAGTAATAGAAAGTATGTTAGGACTTACAGGATATCACAGTCAAGGGGTTAGTGCCAAACACCTGAACTAGAATAGGAATCACCCATAATTTTGTAGGTTAAGTCTCTTTAGGAATTACTATGATGACAGGAGAAATTCTGAAATTTGACTCTCTAAGCTCAGAGGCCAGAAAGCCTAGGAAAATACTCCAATAATTCAATGTAAAAGGTGTCCTAAACTGCGTAAGAGGGGGTAATCTGGAGAAATGAGAGGTAAAAAAAAGATATAGCATAGAATCCAAGGCATAAGGAGGCTAAGTTTGTTGTGGCAAAAGAATGGATCATATCCACTAAAGATATTTAAGTCAAAGTGGGGTGGTTCAGATGATTGCTAGCAACTTTATATTCAGAGATGCAACTTGATGTCTTCTGGCTCAAGGATTTCAGACCTGTGGTTCTCTGCCACATCTGACCATAACCTTGGGGGCTTCTTCAAAAAGCACCCCCAGCTCTACGAAATTTTTATATGCCCAGGGATGAGATGATGATAATACGGCAAAGCACATGAGTTTGAACCCTCATTGAGGTGATTCTGATACAATCTACCTCCATATGCATACATCAAGTAGACATGTTTGTAGGCATGTTGAATTAAACCAAATTTTGGCCTAGAGATTTAGTTTATTTTATATTGTAATATTGCCTCAAGTTAATGACCTTCAAGGGCTGAAGGACCTGATTTATAAACCCTCAAAATATTACATGTGATAATTTATCTTTACAAGGTATCTGAATATATTGCAGTTGACATAACAGGAAGAAAAAGCAGCTTGAGTATTACACCAATATTTACACTTTTTACATATTCTAAGCTTGATCTGTTGGTCTCATTTATACAGGTTTTTTTTTGGGGGGGCTATTATTCCTTTTTTAAAGTATTTCAAGCACTTGAAGAAATGTAAAGAATAATTACTGGACAGCTGTGTAACTAACTAACATCTAGCTTTCTCAAGCCTTTATAATATTCCTATCCATTGGGTATTTAACCCCTAAAAAAAAAAATATGTACAAAAGTTGGAAATGTAAAAAATGGAGAAAAAAATCCTCTTAAAACTACTGTCTTTCATTTTCAAGATCACTATAATTTTTAGACACAAATTTATGAAAGAATTACATCATTATTTGCTAGCTTTCTGACATTTTGGGGGCTTTTGGTTTGATTTTCTTGCCAGTATATAAAAACCAAGATACCCTAGCAAAAACACAGTAGTTATATTCCGATATTTATCATCATTAATTTTCTATTTTATAATATTTCTAATAAATGTTTTACTTCTCTAGAACATTAGAATATGGTAATGTCCTTTTAGATTTATTTTTCTTTCCTTAGATCATCTGTCCTTGCTGTAATAAAATCAATATACTTTAGTACTGAAATGTTCAAACAATAGGCAGATAAAAACATAAGATCTAGTCATAATCTTACATATATAAGTCAAATATATGTGGGTATCTATAAAGTACTAAAAAAACTGGTCACATATTAATTAATTTTATGTGTGGACTGCTAAGCTAGCTTCTACATCTAACTAGTAACCCACCTTTTCAAGATCAAATAGATCAACAATGAATAACAAGAGGCGAAAGTACAGATAATAATAAACCACTACCCGAAATAATACTTCCTCCATTATTATTTCAGTTAAGTTTTTCTATTAGTTATATTCTTAAGAGAACTTTAAAGAGCTGCAATTTAGGTGAAAAAGAAAAATAGCATTAAATCATTCATTCAACAAACACTTATCAAGTGCTTACTACTTAATGCCTAGGCACTCTGCTAGGTAGTCAGGTTAAGACGCAATGTCTTATTTTAAGTGACTCAGAAACTGCTTTCAACGTCACGTCTAGGTTTATGACTCCATCCATCATCCATACAACAAATATTTCTCGTAAGGCCACTACATGCCAATCACTGTTCTAGGTAACAGAGATAAAGCAGTAAACAAAACAAAGTCCTCGCTCTCATGAAGCTTCCATTATGGTGAGGGGAGACAAGCAAACAAATAAAAACATATGTCAAGTGGCAAGAAAAGCTACCAAGAAAAATAAATCAGAGTTAAAAACACAGAAGGGCAGTAATTTTATATAGAGTAATGATATTCATATTCATATTGAAGATACAGCTAGTGCACACACATTTTATTTATGCTCTCATTTAACTGATAGCTTGAAAGGCACCAATTCACATCACCAAATAAAAATTTCCCGTTTCCATTTTCCTTATATTCCTTCAAGGATCTGATACTGCTGACCAGCTCCATTTTGAGAACCTACTGACTCATATGACATATTTCCTATCCAGGTTCTTAACATTAGCCATTGGGGTGTTATCAATATAAGCTGCACAATCACATGTAGGATTTAATTAAGATCTCATATCCAACCAAGGGAAATATATTTTAATTGATGTGGAATTGGACAGCACCTTGAGAAAATATTTAATTTTGTTCCTAATTTCCAATAGTTTTTAGAAGCTTATGTAACAATTTAATGACATTTACTCAAGGCATTTGAGAGAAACAACATCAAAAACAAACCCTTGTATAACATGTTACATCTTATAAAAGCCCTTTCAAAGTTTATTCATTTAATCTACATAAAGTGATAAGACCCTATGAAGCAGGTAATAGATCCATACTGAAACACTTTAAATGTTTCTATGCATCATGAGCATAGTGAGGGGTAGTAAAGAGAAAAAATTGCTACTTTTTAAATCTTAGGTAAAACAAAATCTCTAGGTTTACTCCATTCCAAAATTCTATTTCACACTGTATTAAGATACAGCTAGAAGGTTTTGTCCTATAACTTATTCCCTATTAAAAACAAGATCCTAACTTTTCAGAATTACATCATTAAAACTGACTTAAATACCTACCCTTTATTTTTTTTAATATCTGAAAAATGCTTAAAGGCATAATGAAAAACATTAAGAAACTTCTGTAATCCCAATATTAAAAAAAAGATGCCTATTTAGTACTTGTTCCAGCCCATCCCTATTAATCTAATAGTTTTTAAATTGCTTCATATTAACTAGACTATTAATATTCTCTAAAAAAGCTTGGTTTTTTTTATTTAAAAAAATAAACAGGGGTAGAGGACCAAACTGATAAAAATTACTGTGAAATGAAATCAAACAATTTGTATAACATTTTAAATTGTAATTTCAGAGTCACAAGTGGAAAAAAAGACAAAATGATATATATTTATTCAGTAAATATTTACTATAAGTACCATATGCAAAGTGATTGGAACAAAGGATTATGTATCCCTTGAAGAAGGCTGGGTTCTCACCTGTTCAATCTCTTTGGTTTTCGATGCTATTGCTTTAGAGCGATTGTTTAGCTGACTGTCTTCAAATAATTCTATGCCATCTGTTGCATTTGACTCAGGTTCTTCTGACTGGTCAATGAGCAATGGTGCCGTGGGTCCTGCCTTTAAAAAGATTAGAAATCTTTACTTGCTTTCTTAAAGGATATATTGCATTTCAGGTAATTTGTATAGGCATTACCTGGCAGATTATATCATGAGAAAGTGCTAAATTTAACCTGTTTTAAGAAAACACTTTCAATTTAATTATTCATAATGAGCTTATGTGAGGAGATCTGAGGAAATGATTGCTAACTTTTAACATTTTAGGTAAGACAAAGCCTTTAGGGTTATTTCATTCCAAAATTATATTTCACATCATATAAGCTATAAGGTATTGTCCTATGACTGTTCTTTCATCTTAAGAAATATTGAAAAGGTTTAATTGGAAGTGAGGGGTGTGTGTACACCTAAACAGTTATATTAAAAAGGAACATGGGCTCTACTTTCAAAAATTAAATATTGAAACAACTGAAAAGAAAACAATTCCCAAAAGTAATAACAATCACTTCTATTTTACAATTCATTAATGAATAAATTATCCTACAAGAAGCCTACAGCTGATTATTGTACTTTCTAAAAACACTTGAAGGAAAGAGAAATGAATGAGGAAAGACTATTATTTAACTATACTCATTAGTTTATTAAAAACTTTACTATATGACAAATGCCAAGCACTGCTCTAGCAACAATAGACACATCAATGAACAGAACAGACAAAAGTTCTTGCCTTCACGTAGCTTGCAGTAAACAATAATTTAGATAGAGTAAACTGTGAAGTTTGAGCTCATGTATTCTACTGCTGCATATTTTAGGTGGGTGGGAGGTAAGGGAGGAAATAAGGAATGTGTATTTATTACAAGTTTATTAAAATTTAGGGTTTGGTGATTGAAGTTGTAGCAAACAACAGTAGGTTTAGAGAAGTCACAGACATAAACACTAATTAGTGGTACTTTTCATCAGTAAAAGCAGTGTCATTCCAACACCTAATGTGGTGTATACTGCTACACTTCATTAGAAAATAATTTGGCAACATCTATCAAAATTTAGCACATGTCCTTTTCACTCTGAAAAGTCAGGCAGAGAAAAGCAAGTACTGTACAATCTCCCTTTTATATGGAATCTTTAAAAAGAAAAAGCAAAAGCAAAAAAAAACCTCATAGGAAAAGAGATCAGATTTGTGGTTACCAGAGGCAGGGGGGTGGGTATGGGAGGGGATTGGATGAAGGTGGTAAAAGGATACAAAGTTCCGGTTGTAAGATAAGTACTGGGAATGTACTTACTGATGTATGATATATTTGAAAGTTGCTAAAGAGTGAATGGTAAGATTTCTCATCACAAGGAAAAAAACATTTTTCTCTCTTTTTGGTAGCTATATGAGATGATGGATGTTAACTATTAACTAAACTTATTGTAATCATTTCATAATATATGTAAGTCAACTCACTATGCTGTACACCTTAAACTTATAGTTATATATGTCAATTATATCTCAATGAAATTGGAGAAAAAGCATATTAGTAATTAAATTTAGTTAAATTAATTAGATATATTATCCAAGGTACAGTATGGAAAACATGAGAAATGCTTGAGATACATTCAATATACATAACTAGATAAGTAAAAAAAAAAAATTAAGAAAGGCAACATACGGTCATCGGTGAAATACACATGACATAAAATTTTACAATAGGAAGGGGAGGAAAGTGCAATCAAGAAAGATCTTGAGTGTCATTATTTCAAACACTTGATTCAACTGAACGAATCTGAAAGAGGACCATGAAGATGAACACTCTTCACTGGGGGCAGAATAAGCAGAGATACTGAAGCCAAAAATGATACCTTATATGTGGAAAAAACATAATTCACATTTTCACAATTAAATAAAAATGTCTAAATTTTCTTCTACATTCTAACAGTCATTAAAGAATTTGCTTTTTCATTCTGATAGGCAAAATCAAAACACTCCTGGCCACTTGTTTAAGAATAGTAAATTATATCTTTATAGGGCTTGACTGTAAGCTCCTTGGTAGCCAGGATGGCTTTCCAATGCAGGGTTTGACACAAATAGATAAAGAATAAATATTTACTAAATTTGAATAAAGTAAAAGAAAACAAGTACAGTATTATTTTCTGAAAATATGCACCTTAAATCACTAATCCTAAAATATGCAGTGTGAAAAAAATTTCATAAACGTTTGATTAATTATGCAAACTTTATTATTCATCTTCCTTTCAGAGACTATGGATGAGCATATCAACATATGAAAATCTCTGAGAAGTGCTGAATTATCAAAATCAACCTACCTCCTTTCAATTTAGCATATCCCAAACATACTGGCTAATAGAATCTTTTTTTTTTTTTCTTCCCCAGACCATTAGGACCCTTGTAGAATTACTATTTTATCAAATATTTTGGTAATTCTCTATTAGTGTCCAAAAGGTAAAAGGACAAAACTGAACAGAGGGATGAACTATAACATTCCTGAATATTTAAGTACATAACTGAACAGATCTCCAGTTTCACTGGATTTTACCCATAAACTACCTGGTCTCCCAACCAAATTGCTTAAAACGATATTAATGGCACCAAGAGAAGGTTAAACCGGAAACCCAAATATTTAATCTCTTTTTACTCATAAAAATGAATCTGCACAATGTTTCTGAAGTACACAGACCATTATTTAAATAGCTAAAATATTGTCACAACTAGATTTAAACACACACACAAACCCTTTCCTAGCATCAATATCCTTTTTTCCTTCCAGCTTATTCTTTCAAGTCAGATAGTTTATAGAACCAAGGTCAAAATTCTCAAAAAGTCTGTATCTCAAGGTGTATGGATCACTGAAATTAGTATTTAAAAACTACCCAAGAACAAATGTTAACTCTCTGAACAAAACGTTCATAAAGAAATGATGGAATTAAGCTTTTAAATGAAAAATAGTATCATAAAATTTCCCAACTGCTTTATTTCCAGTATGAAAAAGTACCCATCTAACTTGAAGAACATTTTAGACAATGCTACGAAATTGATGCTGCACCTCAACATTCATGATGTATGCCAAGTAACAAACATACTAATGTCATCTTAGTCCTACTCTCACTTACCTTGGGTTCCACAGAAGATCACATCTGACCTATGACTCCACTTACTGATTTTTAAGGTTATTTACTTCCCATTAATTCAAAATCTAACAAATTCTGGGCATATTTTAGAAAAAAATTAGAAGGTTAAAAAAAGTCTTTCTAGATGCAACGTTATGGACTATTCAGAGTCAAGATTCAGTCAACCAATAATAAAAGAATGTAAGTGGAATATTTAAAATCTAGGAAAGGTAGATATTGAGATTTATTTAAATTAAGAGCTATAAAAAATGATAAAAAAGTAGGGTAGGATCAAGATATTTTATTAAAACCTTGCAAATTGAAGATAAAGTACTTAACAAACAAGAATGAAAAGTTTTTGGAGGTTTCTGATTTTAAGTACTCTGAGAAAAATGATCAGTTCCCCAAAACAGCAATTTTGAAGCATATATTCATTATAATATAAAAACCATTATTCTAAATTATTAAAGAAAATAAGCAAAATGACCCTATTAAATGCATTACTGTATTGTTCATGCTTTTAAATAGTGCTGTTAAGGTACCAAAGAGAAACAGCTTGATGGTTTTGATACATTTATTTGAGAATATGCATAAATACCTATTATTACAGCTACACTAACAAGGAAACCCTGATCTATTTAAGAATTGATATAAAAAATGACAAATAGCACTTTTAAAAAGAAAGTCTCTATTTGCTTAAGATGGAAAGGGTCTGTACTGGTTTGTCCTTTCTGGGAGCAATGTACACCAGTTATTTTGGAAAGGCTTTTTTCAGAGTTTATGAAGATGTATGTAGGTATATAATTTGTATATTGAATTCTAATGCTTGAGTCCTTTTATCAAAGGACATTCGATGAAAGGCATTCAAAAATATATTTACTGGAAAGCCATAAATATCCTCCAAAGATGCATAATTTGTTATGGTACAAAGATTTTAATAATCTCTGCCATCATGTCAAAATAATTCCTCAAGTACCAAACCCTAAATCTAAAAGCTGAATATTTCCCATGAAATGTCTATATTTCTCTATTAGAGATATTATCAGGTATAGAGAAAAATTTTCAGTTCATTTTCAAATATTTTCATACAAACATTTCATAAACAGTATTCTGTAGACTCAAAAATGCTCTCATCTTTGTGGTACTCAAGACCCATCAGAGGTCATAGGCCACCCAAACAATGTGTAATTTCATTTCTTCAGATATTTGTGAGATAATTTACATAGACTAGAACATGTAATAATATAAGGATAATGTAAGATCTAAGGTCTAATTAGATTTTTGCTTTGAATTCACTGGTTCATGACTAGTGGTTCAGCATGATTTCTAGAGAATTTTTAAGAGCAATGCCCATAAAAGAAATATAAATAATGCATTTTCCTTTTTTCCATATTTACACTATTCTTATACTGCTTAAGTACTGGAAACACTGACATATTAAATTATTGAATTCAGAGTCGTTCATATTCATACTATTGCTATGTGTGGTAAATTTTAATAATCCATGAGGATATTTTCCCCATATTTTAAAATACTAGAACAAACCAAGTGTTTTCTGCCCACAATTTAAAATCTAGACAAAACTCCCAGATATGAAACATAAAGGAGAAATGATGCCTTACCTCATACTCCGAAATTTCAGGTAAGTTACTTTCATCTGCCTTCTCTAGCTTTTCAGCAGCCCACTTGCTTGCAGCCTCAGCAAGCTCCTTTTCAGTTAGCCTACTGGGTTTGTCTAACACCTAATAAAAACAGAAGAATAGTTCTGTTACAATTCTCAAGGGCTTTTAAAATTCAAATACATCAAGAAGTACACCCCAACTTACACTTAAAATCATAGAAGTCTTCAAATTTATATACAGAACAAGTACATTCTTTATTTGCTTTTTCAAAAATATTCAACATAGAATTTAAGTAGCAATTCCTTTGGGACGTATAGACTAGATCTCTTAATTTCATGTATATAAAACTTCAGATATTCATCTAAGTCACACAAGACTGACAATTAAGTAACTGACAATTTATTAATAGTATTTAGAGCATAAGACAAACTGATTTCAACTTTCTATCTTTAATTATACTCAATGAAATAAATTATGCCCAAATTTCATCAAGGCGAATTCCTAATTAATGCAACAGAAAGGTCCAGATATGCTATTTTTATAATTTGTTATAATTTATATAAATCCTACTCTACACAAAATAGACTTAAATTTCATTTTTTGATATTACTACTACTTGCCTTCTTCAACCTCATACATTACTAAACAAGGAATGGGATATACAGTTTACAGGCAGACCTAGGTTTGAATGGCAGTTTCATCACTTGCTGGGTCAATAATTTTATACATATAATTTATGACACTGAGTCTTGGTTTCCTCATTTACAAAATGGTGATTAATAATATTTACAAAGTAGTTGTGAGAATCAAGAGAGTTAACAGAACCGAAAGCCTCCAGCATAATGCCTCGTGCTCTAGTTTTTCTTTCTTTTCCATATTCGTAGCTATAAATCTGTTATAGCTGAGTCTGTTATATTTGAAAAACTAAAACATATCTGAAGATCAGTCAGTTCATGGGGTCAATATAAAAATGAAGAAAATAAAATGGTTTATTCTAGATCACATAGGATTCCCACAGTACTGTTTACAGACTTGTGTTACAGAATAAGATGTAAAAATTGCATGGCAACAATTAAAAATTCTTTTCTTAGGCCCTTATGTTAACTCTGATTCCACTCTATTTCATTAGCATACATTTTTATCAATTAGGCCCTTAACCCCTAATTTTGTCCTCACCTCTTCTCTAAAGTCACATAATTGATCCCAAATATGTTTTCTCTGGATGACAATGCCAGTAATCCCTATGTTACGGTACACTACCATTTATAAAGTGCTTTTATATGCAAACCAAGAAAAAAGTATTAATATTTTAATTAAATGGAATTCCATGAAGGTGGCTGCGTAGACTTTATTGACCCAACTTAGATATCAAGAAACTGAATGTCAAAAAAATAGTTATTTCCCACAGCTACTAGTAAATGCTGAGTTGGAACTTAAAACTAGTTCTTCTACCTAGAACAAAAAGGCCCAACCTTGACCTCCTTCCATACCTTATTTAATTCACCAAACTACTGCCTTGCCATCCATAATGTTTACTGAAAGATGATAACAATGTATCAACATGGAGTGATTCCACAGCCATTGAAGAAGCCTAAATACCTAACTCCAAAGCCCTACCTATACATAAGGTTATAAAGGTATAAGCAATATCTTTATTACTCAGTAATAGAGTTAAAAAGTTCTTTTTTAAAAAAGAAAAATACACAAATATATCCAAGAAAAAAATTATACCCCAATTTTTTGGGGGATATCTGTTTTGAAGAAAAAGTCACAGAGCAAAAACAAAACAAACATTGTAAATTATTTCTAAAAAGGAAGCAAAATCTTCTATAACTCAATCCTCTACTCATCTGCCATTACATCTGCATACTTGAAAAACTTTTATTGGAAACTAACTTCTAACAGCAGAAAATAAACCCTGAAAAAAGGCCTTTGACTGCCCACATAAGGGCAGCATAATGTTTAAAAGAAAGCCCTCCACCAAATCAGGAAATCTAGGCTGTGAAGCTCCCCACAGATACCATGTAACCTTGGTCAAAGGACACAGGAGACTGCACTTTCCAAATACATAAAATGATTATAGATAAAAAATTCTGATTCTAGTTTAAAAAGACAAAAATGCAAACATGTACATAAACTGTCAGACAAAAATATTTAAAATCCATTATGGTTGTTTCCCACTGGATAGATCTGAACATGTGCCATAAAATTTTATGCTGTAGCTTATATTTACATTGTATTATTGTTCAGGGGAAATGAATATTTCATATATCAAAATTGAAATATTCGGACCGGCCGAGTGGCGCATTGGTTAAGATCTGGCTTGGGACACCAGCTCTGAGCAGAGGGCCCCGGTTCGGATCCCACATATGAGGGCCAGTGACACTGCCCTCCACAGCTAAGATGCTGAACAACAGCTCAACCTGGATCTGGGATGCCATGAGTCGCCGGTGACAGCGTAGGCTGCAGCCCCTGTGGCAGTGGGTTGCCGTGGGCTACCGTGTGTAGCCAGCAGCCAGCGTGAGCGGCCAGCAGCCGCAGTGAGCGGCCATCCAGAAGCTGGCGACTGATCTGCCTCGCCTGGGAAGAGCGCAATGATGGTGCCAACTTGGACCAGTGAAGCAACGTCCTCCACAACTAGACTGAAGAACAAAACGACAGCAACTTGTCTATTCCCCTTCCCCCAATTCCCCAGCGCTGTTCCCATCCCCCAATTCCCCAATAAAATCTTAAAAAAAAAAAAAATTGAAATATTCACAGTGACTTGGATAGGCAGGTACTATTTACTCTTCTTTCATTTTCACCTGGCAAGAAAAACAAGCCAGTCTTTCAGGTGGGTAAAGCACCCTTGATATGGTTAAGACAGAAACAAAATCCAATCAATCTTTCCTATTCAAAACCCAGCATTCTAGAATTCTCAGACTTCTGGGAAAGCTCTAAAGACACATTTGTCACAGAGACACCTTTTGCTTTTTTCCCTCTGAAGCAGAGAAGACCTGCCCCTGAACACCAGCACAGACTGCCAGGTGATATCTGCTCTTGCTGAAAAGCCATTTGGTATTTCTGTATGGTGTTGGCATAAAAACAGACACATACATTAATGGAACAGAATGAGATTTCAGAAATAAATCCGTGCATACATGGTTAACTAATTTACGACAAAGGAACTAAGAATATGTAATGGAGAGGACAGTCTCTTCAGTAAATTCTTGGGAAAACTGGGTAGCGACATATAGTTTTGGTATTAGGGTAATGCTGGCCTCATAAAATGAGTTTGGAAGTGTTCCCTCCTCTTTTATTTTTTGGAAGAGTTTGAGAAATATTGGTATTCTTTAAAAGTTTGGAAAAATTCACCGTGAAATTATTTATTAGAGAAAATTATTTAACTTCTGAGTCTTGTCTATAAAATGGAGATGTATACCTACTTATATCATAGGATTTCTATATGAATTAATGAGAGAAGAAAATTATATGGTATCTAGAATCAAGTATTTATACAATAAATGTTTGTTGTCTCTGTCTATACCCCTCTCCAAAATGAAAGCACAGTCTATCAAATCCGCCCCATCTGAGTATTCATTCCCACCTAGTTATGGTCAAGATGAGGAAAAACAGCAAAAAGTACTAATTTTAGCAAAATCTGTGGAAAAAATTCTATGAGAAAACTGCTCATTTACTCTGGTTGCTACTTTTAAGTTGCAGTTACTTAAAATTCAAGTTTTTGAATGCAGCAAATTACCCACATTAGGCATGACAATAAAGAATAAAGGCAACTATACTAGACAGACCATATCATTTACTTTGAGATTCCTCTTTAAATTGATTTTATAAATATAACAAACCTTTGATGAAGAAATTGCTGAAGAACTTGAGGGTGAAGTGTCTCTTGATGTTTTCAAAGACTGAACAGGTCTCTCTTTACCTATATAAGAAAATATAAAATGCAAATTTTTCTAACTCACTTGTTTTCAATTAGAGTTATTTTGTAATTGAATAAATAAGAGGGGGCATACACTTACTTTAGCACTGAAATCTTCATTACCTTTTTAAATTAAACCAGTTAATATCTAAATCCTATCTCTCTCAGAGGCTGGGCACCATCAAAAATTTCAAACAGCAGAATATCATACATGGCAGTCTAGCTATACCAATGCCAGTTCTCAAGCACAGAACACTGAGAAGACCTCAAGAAAGGCAAAAAATAGAAACCCTTTAAAATCATAAATGCTTCCTCCTCAAGTTCCTAAAATCTAACTTTTAATACATCACAATAAAAATCCAAAAGTAGTTATTATACAGATATCACCACAGATAACCAGCAAATTAAGCAGTAGCTCAAAGAAAGGCATGTAGGAAATTCAGCAGGTATTCCCTGAAATGTTTAGGCAGTTTAAAAAATAAAATAAAAGCTAGAAAACTTAAATTAGAGCACTAATCCAGCACCTGGAATGAATAAGTACCCAAATATATGTTAAATGGTTAAAAATAAATCTGTATGAGATAAAATCACTAACCTTCATCTTTAGTCAATTCAGATAACTCATGTAGTGCTCTACGTATACCATTGTTTTTATAGGAACTTTAGCCAGAAAACAATTTAAATGCTGCTTTAGCCAGTTCAACAACAGCAAAGATGGATTTAAATATAATCTTAAAAATAAGTGAGTTATTCTTGACAGAAAAAACATTTCATTAAATTGTCTGTATGTGTCAAATACAACATAAACCCCCCAGCTCTTAATCGCTAGGCAAACTGACAAAATTAATTACGAAGAAGAGGAAAAAGTGACATTAAGTTTGCAGTGACACAGAAGCTGGTCAAGGTTAGATAGTGGGTTAAGGCCAAGAAAGCACTCAAGAGCAAAAGCAGAGACAAAACGACCTTGAAACTGAGGCAAAGCCAGCTTCAGTCAAAAGGCCTCGCAGGCTCTTCTTGCTGTGGTGATGATTACGTTAGGGGGCATGGAGGTGCAAAGGCTTCTGAGGGCCTTCCCGCAGTAGTAAATAACATCTCTTTCCAAGGTCCTACAGACCAGAAAAGCTTTCTCAAGACCCTCCCCCCCACCAACTCTCCAGGGACATTTGGCAATGTCTGAAGATATTTCTGATTTCACAAGTGGAGAGCGCCACGGTACATGGTAAATAGAGGCTAGGGATGCTGCTCAACATCCCACAGCTGCACAGGATGGCCTTCCACAACAGGGAATTATCCAGCCTCAAACGTCAATGTACCGAGGCAGAAAACTACTGCTGTAGCCACAGTGTTCCAACTCAGAGGCTCCAACAGTCTTAAAAAAGACATAACTCTAGAATCTTTAACTTGTGGTATCACTATGAAGCTTTCACAGGAACTAAGTTGACAAGTTCTTCTAGACCTTAAAAATCAAAAGTAAAATGATGCCAACTTTCACTACATTCCCAAATGATTAACATGGGCTTCATCATTCCAACATTTCCACTGCACACGGCAAATTCCACATCACATTGTGACAGTGTCAAGTGTATCCCATGGCACCAAAAGCTCCTAGGGGAACAAGTATCATAGCTTATTTATTTCTGAATACTCAGGATCTGCCTAGCTTAAGTCCTTTAAGTAAAAGGGCAGGCACTCCAAAATTCAGTGAAAAGATAAATTATTTTTTTTTATACTTAGGATACAATGACCTCCCCATCTTTCTCAGATAAGCAATTCCTTGACAGAAGAGGAGCTGAACCAATCAGCACAGCGCACCATGCTCATTAAAGGCATAACTGTAGGCTCAATTCTGACACACAGCAGCGAGACACAGAAGAAACCCTTTCACAAGCAGCTGTCAATCTCTTACCTAGCATTTCTTTTACAAAGAAGACATCAGCATTACCACTATGCCAAGTACAGTGCTAAGTAGTCTTCGAATGTTTCCTGATTTTAGTTGCATATGAGCTCATTTAAGCAGGTTTAAACTAACATCAGTGTGCTGAAGCAAAGGAACACTGAGGATCAGGCCATGTGGTTTATCATGTATCCACATATATTCCTACATACCTACTGCATGAAAAAGATGGACAGGCAAGAAGCAAAGGATACAGAAAACAGATGATACAGATGGCAGCAGAAGCATAGAAACGGTAAAAAAAAAAATCCCCTGAACCTACTGTTGTCAGGTCCTATCTGCCAGTGACTTGTCTATTCTATTTACGACCAGAAATGGCTGGCAGACAACCAACCCCCATATCCACCCAAATCCTATTATCTGAGTCTACTGCTGTTCAACCTTGGTTCCAGCAGTAGACTACTAGAGCAGTTACAAACTTTTCCCATTACTATAATCTGGATCAATTCATGCCCCCACCCTTTCAAAATCCCAAACCAAAATCTAGCTCAAAACTCACCTCTTTCTGGCTTTCCTTCATTCTGCCGTTTGTAGGAGGCACGAACACGCTCGAGCTCTAGGGAAAGGTGGGCAGGGAGGAATCACGACCGGCACCTCTTTGCCCAGGAGCAACAAGAGGAAAACCCAGAAGCAGGAGTGATGAGAACAGGAATGTCTAAGCTTTGGCTGGGCACCCTAACCTCTTTCCTAACCTGCCTTCAAAGTGGGCTGCCTGAGCAACCACCACTGAAGAGGGATACATAACAGGAGCTGTTTAAGATCAGAAGCTAACTGGGTCCAACAACACGACTTATGAAGATGAGGCTAAGAATAGCATGGGCAGAAAAGACTGAGAAAAGGATCATAAAATAAGACACCAAAAGGTGAAGATGGGGATGACGTCTTTCTCATCATTGTAAGCACCTAGTCTAATCTTCTCCGTCAAGCCGACGTTCAAAGGATTGGTTAAAGAGGTTAAAGAGTGACACCCCAAAAACATCAAGAGTGAAAGATGAATTACCATTAGAAATCAAAAAGAATACTGGGGTTTTCATAGTACATCATATCAGTTCCCTGGGCTTACAATGGTTATCTGCAGTAGTCATTATGACATGTTCTCTACAAGCAGCCAATTACTAAATCTTGCTAATTAATTCTCTTAATACAAACTCTCTCATATATGAATTTTCTTTATAAACAAATCCATAGCTAATGTTTTGGCTGAATCCCTAATTATCCCATATTTAGAATCCTGTAAATATTTTATTTGCTTTCAGCAAACTCTTCCTGCAGATGGAATCAGCTTTCTAAATAGCCTAAATATACCAGCAGGGGCTCCCAGATAGCTTTCCAATAAGATACAAACTCCTTCTTCAATCATAGACTCCAAATTGCCAATTCCACCTTTTTTTCCCTGGGAAAATAACACTTTTTCTGAATTGTTTTGAAATTGTCAGCACCCTGCATTAAAAAAAGTGAAGATGGGGGCCGGCCGAATGGCGCGATGGTTAAGAACTGGCTTGGGATGCCAGAGGGCCCCGTTTCGGATCCCACATATGAGGGCCAGTGACACTGCCCTCCACAGCTAAGATGCTG